TGGGGAGGGGGCGCTGGGGCCCACAGAAGAGCTTGCCTGGCCTGCCCAACTTCCGGCCCTAGCCTGCTCCCCAAAGCGCCTCCCTCTGTGCCCAGGTGCCTGGAGCCCCACCAGAGCCCTCGTGGTCCTCCTGCCCACTTCCTTGGGGCCGAGGAAGCTCATCTCCAAGCACTTTTTGGCTTCTCCATCTCAGGCTGTTGGGTGGTTGGTAAACAGCTTATTAAGGTGATTAACGCTGCAATTAAAGCTGGAACAACAGGGGCCAGGGCACCGCTGAAGGTCCCCCCTGCTCTCCATCCCCTCTGGGCTGAGTTGATGCAACTCTGTCACCTTGGCCAACCAGGGCCCTTACCTCGGGGCTGGGAAGCTGGGCCTGGGAGGCCGGGGTGCAGGGGGCCCACTCAGCTGCTCCCCATTTCGCTCACCGGATCCCAGCCTCAGAGTGGTGGGTGCTCTGCTGGGGTCAGAGAGAGTGGTGGCAATGCGGGGTGGGGAGAGTTCGGACCGGAACTGGGTAGGCTCTCTAAGCTCCCCTAGAAAAGAGGGGCGGGCACCACCAGGCTGGGTGAGAGACCCTCTTCTCCTGGGCTTCCCCCCGCAAGAGGGGCAGGAGCTGTCCCTCCCCAGGGAGAGGCCGGGGGCTCCTTTTCTTCCACCATGACCTCTCTGTGAGCCAAGGGCCCAGGGAGGCATCCAGGGACCTAGGTGCCTGTTCCTGTTCTACCTCCGGCACTGGCCTGGCACGTGGAGTCCCGGCGCGGAGTCACTCTGCATGTGAGGTCCCTGGGGAAACCGCTCCCTAGATCCCCGCACCTTGCCTGTTGCATTCCTTTCTTCTTTCCAGGCGTAACACAGATGCCACCTCTTCTGGCTCCGGAGCTCCTAGCACACAGGCTTTGCGCCTTGCTTCCCCATGCTTTGGCCATCTGTGCCTGGCAGATAGCAAGTGCTCAATAAAGGCTGATTTGTTCCAGGGCTTTCACACTGAACTACATCTCCGGCCCTTTTTTAAGTTTACTTTTTGAGACGAAGTCTCATTAAATTGCTAAGTTGCCCAGGCTGGGCTTGAATTTGGGATCCTCATGCCTCAGCTTCCCAGAATGCTGGAATTACAGGCATGTGCCCCCAGATTCCGCTGGCTTGTGGCTTTCTGAGTGTACCTACAGATGGTAGATCAACCAACCGACAGGGAAGCAGGGGTCACCAAGTGCTGGGTACTTGGTAAGCATTTTCCCCTGATTATGCAGAGTATTCTCTCTCCAGCTCAGCTAGGGAGGTACTTTACAGATGAGGAAACTGAAGTTTAGAAAGGTTAAGCGACTTCCCCAAAGTCACACAGCCAGCAGAGTGGCTGAGGCAGGATTCAAACCCAGCTCTGCTGACTCTGCCTTGCACATTCCTAACCAGTGTGGAGCTTTTCAAAGACCTTCCCAGGGAGGGAGCCCTGGCCTCCCCTCCAATTCTCCTCCCCCGAGAACCTGGTGAGGAGGGGCGGAGCTACAGGTGTTGCCGCTCTCAGACATCTTGGGAAACGGATGCAGAAAAGTCCCCAGTAAAGAGCACCTGTTCCCTGTACAGACCTGGGTTCCAGTCTCACACTGGCAAGTAGTTTGGGTGTGCGACCTTGGGGAGAATCGAGCCTCTACCTTGTGCTTCCATCCTCCCTTCCTTCTTTTCTCCTTTTGGGCTGGAGAGCAGACCCAGGGCTGCAGGCTAAGTGTGTGCTCGCCTTCTGAAGACTCGGTTTTCTCATCTGAGAAATGGGCCCTGTACGTCCCTGGCCGAGCCATTGTGTGAGGATCACATGCAAAGTACCTGGCAGCGGAGGGTAGTAGGTCAGCAAACACCAGCTGAGCTGCCCCCAAGTCGAGACTTGGAGAATGGTGACCTTCGGGGCAGCCTGGGGTTCCCTGGCCTCCCCCTTTCTTCTCCAAGGTTGAAAGGAAGCAGCGGGTATTGTCAAGGAGCCCGGCAGGAGACGGCCGAGTCCTGCCACCCTGGCACCTCTGCCCAGCCCCCACCCAAGCCCCTCAGCGGGGTGGTGAAGAGGGCAACCGGCGGCCCAGAGAGGAAGGAGAGGTCAGGGGTGGGGCTGACCCCCCAGGAAGGTCACCTGGGCAGTTAGGCCAGCCTGACAGAGCAGGGAGTGTTCGGGGAGCTTTCAACACCCTTTCGTGCCGCCCGCCTGCCCAGCCTCCCTCCTCCCTTCCTCTCTTTCTGCCCTTTTTCCCTTCTCCCTCCCTTTGCTGGCAGCCCAGCCCTAATAAAATGCAGTGTCTCCAGCGTGTCTGCCGCTGCCGCCTCCTGCTCCTGCTGCAGGCAGCCCTCAAACCAAGCTGCTCAGCTCGCCCCGCCTGGCAGCTGCCACTTAACCCTCGCCAACCCGCTGGCGTCCGTGGGCCGAGGCCTCCTCCCTTCCGCCTCCCTGGGTGGGTGGGAGCGGGGGCACGCCCTCCACTCGGGAGCGTCTTGCGGATCTGGCCTCCACGTGCCGGGACCGTCCACCAGGCCCCCTCTGTGCCCTGAGGTCCTTGCCTTCTCATCCTTTCTCTGCTTGGTGCCTCCCGAGATCCCCAGAGACTGGCAGGGTGGGGACTGTTATCCCCATTCCACGGATGGGGACACCAAGGACCTGGCTGTGAGGTTCCTAGCTGGGCTGGCTCACTTTGGCTGCTGGGTGGTGTTGCTGATTCTTTAAACAAGATTTTCCATTACAGGGAGCTGCCTCTGCCTCTGCCTCTGTGTGGGGTGCGTGCAGGATGCCCAGTGACTTGTGGGTTTCTGTGCTTGCACGTCGCTGTCCTGGGTCTCCCTGAGGGTCGTGGCTTTGACTTTGCTCCCCCCATGTGATGCTACTGGGTCTCCGCTGTGGTCTGTGTCCTTAGAGGTCCCTGCAGATGACCACCTCCTGCTCGAGTGGGAACTCGAGTGGCCTCGAGTGGGAACACGAGTGGACGGGTGACAACAGAGAGCTGTCACCCTGTCAGTGAGCTGTAGTGTCTGTGTTCACGTTGTCCCCGTCTGTGCCCAGACATGGCCCTCCGTGCCCTCTCCCACGCCAGCTCTGGGTGGCAGAGGGACAAGGTCCTGAGGCTGAGCCCGCACTGAGCAGTGAGCGCAGACTGAAACCCAGCCTTTTGCTCCTGTCCCAGCCCAGTGGGGTCCCTGCCAGCTGTGGGAGCAGTGGGGTTTCCCCTGCCTGCGGTCCCACCCTCTCCCCGAGCTGGGAGGGGCAGATGGGAGTCAAGGGGCTGCCAGTGCCTGGGTGTGGAGAGTGGGTTCACACGCGTGTGCGAGAATGTCTGCGTGTGAGCTCAAGATCGAAGAGCAGCCCGAGGTGACCTGGCAGCGGCGGTGGCAGAGGGCAGCTGGCTGACAGAGAACACCACACCACCGCCCAGAGAGCAGAGGCGGCTCAGGCAGGCACAGCTGGGAGCCTCCCCTCCGGCCCTGCCCAGATCGGAGCAGCCACGGGGCCAGGGGCACCTGCCACCTGCGGCCAGGCCCAGCCCAGCATTCCAGCAGTGAGGTCTCCCACAGGCCCTGTCTCCCCCAGCCAGCAGCCCCTGGGCTCTCGGAGGTCCCCAAGTCCCAGGCCTTCCCCCCAAGAGCTGCCTGCCACCAGCCTCCTGTTCAAAGAGCACAGTGGTTCTTTTCTTCTTTTTTTATTAACATTATATATAAAGATGGGTCCGGGAAGGAAGAACTGAGAAGGCCAGGAGGGTGGGAGCTGGCTTCGTTTCCGTCCCTGGGGTGGGACTCGGAGACCCACCCCATCTCTCCTCACTCCCACACCTCCCACGAGACCCAAATCCCTCTCTTCTCAACGCTCAGGGAGGATCCATCCAGGAGAAAAAGGGTCACATAAATAGGAAACCACAGGAGGGAGGAGGCCACTGCTCTCTTGCTCTTAAAAAAAAAAAAAAAACATACTATATATATATATATATATAGCTACAGTCTTTTACCTCTCTTTTTCTTCGATGTTTTACCACATCAGGGGTGGAGATGTTAGCTAGGGGGACACTGGCCAGCCCTTCTGGAGGCCAGCCCGCACCCTAAGGCACAGCCCTCACGTTTCTACAGAGCACCACACTCACCCTGAATTCTCCAGCTCAGCAGAGCAATCTACTTCCAAGGTCACAGGAAACGGGGTGTCTAGGGCTTTGTCTTGCCTGGCGAGTCTCTGTGGAGATCTGGGTGGGATTTGGCGCCCAATCTGCCAACTTATGGGAGAGGAGGAGGAGGAGAGACGGGAGGCGGAGGCAGGACAGAGCTGCCCACCAAAGGGGAGATTTAGTCCTATCTGGTAACAATGCCCTTTGTTTTCTTATTTTTCAACAGCTTTTAAAACCAAGGTTGTGCAAAGTCCTGTACATGGAGGAAGAAATGGGGTCCTTAAGAGAAACAAGGGAGAAGCCCTCCCAGCAGATGGGGAAGGGGTGATGGCTTCTCTAATTCTTCCCCCGAAAGCCCCCAGAGAGCACAAGATTCCCTCACTTTGGGGGTTTCTTTGGTTTAACCCTCAAATCTTGAACGAGGCCTGGAAGTGGGGGGCCGGGTTGAGGTGAGTTCCCCACCCTGTGTCGCAGGCATGCTGTCCAATGTCCTTTTGGCAGAAGGGCCATGCAGGAAGGGTGGCCCCAGGTTGCTCCGGAGGAGCCCGGTGTGGCAGGGGTCAGGATCCATCACACCTGACCCCCCCGGCCCAGGCTTAGCTTGCAAACACTGCCCATGTCCCTGTGCCCTGGTCGCCGGTCTGGGGAATGGGCAGGTCTGCCGTGCTCCGAGGTGCTGAGCTATCAAAGCAAGTCCAGGCTCCCGGAGCGGAAGGGGCACCACAGTCCCCCCTGGGGTGAACGCGCCCACATCTGGAGGGGCACCCCAGTTCTAGGCAGGGGGAGGGAGGTTCAGGGGGCAGTCTTGGTCCATGCCAATTTCATCTGGAAACTCTTGGGTCCCTGGAGAAGGGGCAGGGGAGGGGAAAGCTGGCTTTCTTTCCCCTGTGCTCCTCTGTGATTCCTGAGTATCGCAAGGACTAGGCACTTCTGCCTGGTCCAGGGTCCTTCGTCGGGGCACAGGCCGGGTGGGGCTCAGTACACGGCCCCAGGGTTGGGTGGGGGTCCCGGGGAGGCATGGTGCAGGGTGGCCGGCTGTGGTGGCTGCTGCTGTAAGTGGGGTCCGCTCAGGTTCTGTGCATGGTACCAGGAGTTGGTGGGGTCGTCCAGGTAGCTGGGGGAGGCACTGTATGGGAGCGGCGGGGGCAGCTGGCTGCGGGCAGGGGCCGGCGTGGAGTGGGAGGAGGTGTCCCAGAGGGCTGGAGATGGCGGGGAGTTGCAGGCCATGGAGTCGCTGTTGTTGGGACTGTGCTCCAGGGGCACCTCCCCATTTTTGTACAGCTTCTTGAACTTGGAGCGGCGGTTCTGGAACCAGATTTTCACCTGGGCCGGAGAAGAAAGGGGCAGCCAGTTAGCCCTTGGGATGCGGAGGGAAGCCCCACTGGAAATCCAGTGTGGACGAGGCTGCTCCAGCACCCGATGTCACCCAGTGGAAACCAAGTGAAAGCGGGCTGCGGTAGGCCCCGGCCAGCAGCCCTTTCCTCCTGTCTAGGACCGAGGCCGGGCATATTTGACCCGGGTTCTGATCTGCTCAGGGTGACCTTGGGGATGCTGCCTAACCTCTCTGGTCCTGCCTTCCTCTCCTCTGCAAAATGGGGACAGTGATAGCACTGTTACCTCATAGGGTCACTACGGAGCTCAAGAAAACTGAACAACCCAGTATACAGCAAGCATCTATTAGACCAGTATCCCGGTGGGACATGGGCAGTTTGTGCCATTTCGTTCACGTTAGCTGCCATAAACAAGAGGTGTGAGGACACACAAACACACACCCACACACACATATCCGTGCCCAGCCACGTACCCACTCACAGAGGCCCCGGGCCTCGGAGCTCGGCACATACACAGATCCACCCAGGTAAACAACACGCACACCCACTTCACACACGCACTCGGGCGCCAAGTCCTCCTGGGTTCAGGCTTGGAACAGGGGTGACCTGGGGACGCAGGAGCAGGTGAGCCACGGTTCCCCAAATTTCCCCTGGGGTATCTCCCCCCCCTCGCCGCTCCCCACCCCATGACTGGCGCAAACAATGAATCAGCTCCTTACCGGGTGACCCAGATTCCCAGAGGACAGGGCCCCACGCAGCCGCAACTGAGGCTGGCCTGCCAACACCTGCAGCCAGCCAGGCGTCCCCACTCCTCCCTGAGCAGGCACAGGCTGCTAGGGGTGACGGTGGGGCTCCTGTCCTGACTCCTGGCAGAGTGAGGTGTCTCAGCCCAGCATGCGTTTGTGCCTGTGCTCACTGGGGCGAAGCCCCCGCCTCTGCCTTCCTGAACACATCCTCGAGTGTGCGCACAGACCCCGACGTGCATGCAAACGCACAGGCACACCTGTCCCTGTGCCCAGTACACCCTTGCACACCCACACAGCCTCAGGGAAAAGCACACCGTGGGCCCTACCATTCCAACCACACAGCTGGGGATCTGGGAACCTGGGGTTCCGGGATGGAGGGATGAGGGCTTCTCCCTGCCAGACACACACCATAGCTTAGGGTCACAACTGCAACCCCCCCACACACACTAAAGCAGGACCTTTGTACAGAGTCTGAGATTTGAAGTCCTCTGTCCTACAGGCAAGGGTCCCAGAGCCTGCAGGGCCCTTAACGTCTCAGCTGTGCCTGGGGGACTCTGGGGTCCTTGGAGCTCTCACCCTCCCCCCAAGCCCTGGGCGGCCCAGTACCAACCTGTGTCTGCGTGAGGCCCAGCTGTGCAGCCAGCTCGGCGCGCTCTGGCAGCGCCAGGTACTGGGCCTTCTGGAAGCGGCGCTGCAGGGCGGCCAGCTGGTAGCTGGAATAGATGGTGCGCGGCTTTCGGACCTTCTTGGGCTTCCCGTTCACCATGCGCACCTCGGCTTCCGGCTCCTCCTTCACCGACACTGCGGGAACACACGGGTGGGAGACGGTTCAGCCTCGGCCTGCGACCCCTGCGCCCTCCGGGGGCCCCTCCGGACGGCTCTC